CTCTGGTCCCTTTTGCATTAATAACGGATCTTACTTTGGTACAGCCTGTATACCCTCGCGAAACTGCGAAATTGTACAAATGACATTGGTTACAAGAATGTACAGGTTTTCACATGGTGCCTGTACAACACCTTACAGAGCCCCTTTTGATGCCCCCATCAAGCCGAACAGTCAAAATCTATTACAGTTTTGTTGAGGAGTGTTTCCTGATATTACATAACGTTTTCAGGTCTGTCTTCAAAACTTTTGCTCGTTCCTCGACCGAGAGCATCCACGGATGGAGTTTCCTGGTAACAACGGGCATCTCGATGGTAATAACCATGGAAGTTTTCCACATAATGGTGCCATGGTAAGTGTTTGTTAGACGGTTTGGCAGTTCTTATTGTTGGACTGTATTGCTTCTAAATATGCCTAAATATGCCTTTTGTTACTATACAGCGAGAACTGGACGTTTTTTCAACCCTACAAAGCTTTCTTTTGAAGAAAACTAACAATGTAGCGCTTTGCAGAGTGTACTCTACGTTTTTTTGGCTCATTTGCCTGATGTGTGGTGCTTCTGTCGGAATAGAACGAGCACCTACTTATTGCTTCGCATCTGCAGCATTTTTTCTGAGGTGTTCGTAGAGTGCATTGGTGGAATTCGCGTCACTACGTACCAGGCACCAGCGAGTTCAATTGGGGTCGCCGACGTTCTCGCGGCGTGGCGTTGGCCGGAAGGTTGCGATATCGCGCGCGGCGTGGGTGATCCGAAGGCATTTGTTGTAACTCGCGCTCGGTTTAGGCCCATATTTCGACTGTAGCTGAAGCTGCTACTGGAGCCCATCCAGTAGTAAAGTTCTGTCAAGCAATGGCTAACTGTGAGCCTCTGAACTGTTGGAGGGTCAAGCGTGATATTCTTCCCTCAAACTATTTTAGTTCACCTAAACTACTGTTTCTCCAACTGATAGGGATGGAGCTGTCTAGCCCTACTTCTCCACTCACAGGAAATCAATAATCTATCTCATTTATTGATTTACTTATTTATTTGTAGGATGGTGTGTGCCCGCGCTTAGGTAATACAGCAACCAAGTAGAATGCCAACCACACAATCTCACAGAACAAACGTGAAATAATTAGAAGTTGATGTTTAATTAGAAGTGTTCGGTTTGGAAGGGGCATTTTGCCCCTTTTTTGCGGAGTTTTTTGCTAGTTCCTGTTAGGCTACACGTCTCACTTTGTTAGGACTTGTAGACTCTTGTCAAGTGCAAGTGGACCTCCTGCCATAGTGTAGCTTTACAGGAATGGACAGGTCTCCTTAGCCTATGGACCATAGGACCCATCAGTGATCGATAGGGAAGGGGAAAATGCTCGCCTCAGCCGAACTGCGTCTAACTAGGATCAAAATAATTGCAAAATAGTAAACACAATAATAAACATGAACAAAAATCAACTCAAGTCCATCCTGTCAACGTGATGCTCAGGAAACCTCTGCATTAGCTAGCTTGAGGGCTCCACTTATGGGGTTTTTGTTCAACATCAAATCAGGAAAAGGTCAAGTGGTGAGCTAAAAAAACAATGTGCCAGAAGCATTTTGAGTAGTTTAATAAAACATGAAAGCTCTCCTGAGAAGTCACCCGAAAAAGTCATTGCTTAAGTCGAAAAATCGAATAAATGACAATTATTGAGGGGAGGGGGCCCAAAGCAAAGGGTCAGCTCAACTTACGCTTCGCAGGCTCGCTTGCATGGAAGCCGAACAAAAGCATAGTCCTCATGACGCTACGTGATTTATCCACGATGATAAGTAATGTAACTTTTTCAGCTCACACCGCCATGGTCCGGAGGCGTTGATCGGTCGCTCGCAGAGGGATGTACTAGTAATGGATTGTCAGATCAGCGTGGTTATGCGTACTATCAATTGCCGTCGGCTAGAGCCTTGATGATTCACAATCCACCGCTCACTGTCATGGATGACGAGGTTAGTATGTCGGCATTGTTCGGCTTGAGAGGGGCATTCTGCACTTTGGCTAGTTCCCTTTGCTACTTCCTGTACAATTACAATCACTGCGGTGGGAGCTGCAGACTATTACCAAAAGAAAGGGAGCTGCTGCTATTGATGGGAATCAGCAGAATGCCCCCACCAAGCCAAATGTCTCTGTTAAACTGCCGAAAAGTTATGATTGTAACCATGTCAACCAAGAAATGAATCCAAATTTTTTTAGACAGTAGCGGAACTGACCCGATTATCATCCGGTCGACTGGAACGCCTAGCAGGAGTGTTAGCCGTAATTCGTCCTTTGCACATTGTATTTCGCGATCATTCACTCTATAACCATCGCCCTACGCTTCTACTCATATATTTCCTCAAATTGTAAGTTTTGTCCGAGTTTATTCGTTTTGATATTCAGGTTTTAAAGCGGGATTGCTCGGGGGATGGGGGTGGAGGGGGAGCAGCGGCATTCAAAGAGCTCTTTGTGGAATTGCTGTAGCACAAAAACCCACTTTTCACTCGAGGAACTTCGTTCGCCTACCCGGAACCTTCTCTAGGTTCAGGTAGAAATCTGCAAATCCTTCACGTGGAGGGCGCGCCGTGTTCTGGCCAGTGGATATAGGTTCCACTACCTAGTTGGTTGGTGGCTCCGCCAAAGTTCCATACAATTACTACTCTCGATTGTGGGAAACAGAACCTTCTCATCTCCTCCGTCTCACCCTCCCCCCCCCGCCAACAGCAGTTTTTATTTGGGGGGGGGACTAAGAAACATTTTTGACTAGTGTGAAAAAGTGGCAAAGAATTAGGAAATCGTCACTAAGATGGTGAATAGGATGGAGAGATGGGGAGGGAGTCATAAACAGAGGACCAAATATTCGAGGGGGTGGGAGTGGGAGGTTCGTAATAATTTTCTCGAGCTCTAAGAAGTGCTCGGTTCACCTAACATCAGTTTTGCACAGGGAGTGTTATGAATGTCCCCTCCCCCTATCCTCCCCCTCCCCCGGCGCGTGGATTAACGACCCCCTCATTTGTCCTTCTGCATACGCCCTACTCCAGTTCTTCCTGGTTAAATTCTTAAAGAGCTTTTTTGTTTCCTGAAAAGAGACTGTCCGGGAAATGGCCATATTTTCGTCATCCCAAGATTTGTGGCAACTTCTGTGATGTCCCTTGTGAGCCACAGTAAATTATAAGTTTGGGACAACAGGCAGCATACAGTATCCCAGATTGCGCATAAAACTGAGTTCATAGGAGCAGGGGTTTCCGCCCAGGCAGCCCTGGAATGGATCAAGAAGCAGAACTCGCTCACTTCGTGGCCCCACCGAAAAACTGAACACGGCATACCTCGTTGTGTGCATTCACGGGGCGAACACGTTTAGTTTCACGAGCAATTTGCGGAGTACTGTATGCCGCCTGTTTCCTTGGATTTTTCTTTCTTGCTCTTGAGTGCCATACGTACAGTTACTTGTGATGTTTACAAGTAATTAAAGGATTTTCTAATCAGGCTGCAACCATCTGTACGTCGTGTAACGTTTGACGGCATTCAATCTCATCATCTGATTCCGTTGCATAAAATATTCGACCTTAGTGGCATTGATGAGCTTAATGTTAATCAACCGGTTAGTTTTGGATTTTGTGGTCTTTAGAGTAGGGGCACGATCGTTGGGGGAGGGCGGTCGTCACCAGTGTCATTGGTGGGGGAGGAGGACTGAGTATGGTGGTCAAACGCCCTCTCGCAGTTCTCCCGCCAGTGACACTAGCAGCAACCGCAGGCTCCCAGCAATCGTTCCCACTGCCTTTGAAGCTATCGAGTCAAGTTTCATAATGTTATTTTAGCGGTTTTCTCCTGCAATTTGTGTATCTCATCGTCTGCTGATGAATTGGCTGGCATTACCAGCACAGCAAAGGCGTAGGCTTCGAATGCGGCTCTCTGGTTGCCGCACAATGACTGCGCGTGGTCTCGCTGTTTTTGTACAGGTGAGTCCAGATATTCATCTGATTTCCAGGGGCGCAGTTCGGTGACAAGGAGGGGGGGCATTGCAGTTTTGTTGCTTCCCATAGACGTGTCGAGTTATCATGGGGGAACTTGTGAAATCTTGTGAAGCCACAAAAGGATACCAGTAAAACTTTGTAAAGACCACCTGTCAACTCTTGCAAATAGGAGGTTGGTCCAGCTTCACAAAGTTCACACGTTTCACCAGAGTGAGACTTGTAAACCGGAACCAGTGGAGCAGCGAAAGTGCAAAATGCCCCCTCCCCCTGCCGCTGAACTGCGCCCCGATCTGTTCGGGGTAACCTCATATTCGAAGAGTAATCATTTCAGACCTGGAAGACAACACCAGAACCTTGTTTATTTGACCAGATATCCATAGATCTTCGTTCGGTACCAGTATATGATTTTCTTGCTGAAATGGAAACGCCAACGAAAGACCCAGAAGAGGTGAGCTAGTCACAGTGAAGATTCAGAAATGGGCCAAAACGATCCCACTCAAATTTCCTCCTCTGGTGTGAGCCCTCCCCAACCCCCTTCCCCATCTCCCACCCTACCATCTTCGGAAGTTTTCCCAACTTCCCAGCCATTTCTCCGATCTGTTCTCGAAAAATATTGCAGTTTTCGCCCAGAAAACCCGTCTAGCCCTCGGGAGAGGAGGTGGGACGCATATGAACTGCACTTGAAGCAGAAAAACCAAGACACCAAGAAAAATCACCAACCGAAAACTTTTTCTCATAAGGCAATTGCGACACTCCTCCCCCTCCTTCAGCAGCCAGATACGACCCCATCGCTGGAGAACCCCAGGATACAATGCCTTCTTGGTAGGAAGACTCCCGTTGGGAGGGGGTGGTTCATGTTTGCTCCTCGCTATGAACGTTGAGAGGAAAGTCGTATCTGGCCGCGAGAAAAAATTTTCCGATCTCCATCTTCCCATCCTACCCAGCATCCACCACCCCTATCCACAGTCTTCCACAAATCTTCCAAGTTTCGACTACTTTATCGAAGTTTTTTGAAAAACTTCTCAGTTTTCCGCGAAGGAAGCTGCCTTTGAACGGGGGAGAGGTGTTTATACTCAACACAAAACGAGGTAAAAACCAAGAAAAGTCAGAGCGACCAAATGCGACCCTTCCTTGCTGGGGATCCCCAACGAACGATGTGCCGTGTGTGAAGCGTGGGGAAGGAGAGAGAAGGGGGGGTCCTGTTCGGCGACATTCTCCCCAGAGCGAGTAGGTGCCCTGAGAGAATGCTTATACAGCTGACAATTTGTACTATTCCAGCCCGAGGACTGGCGACCTCCAACGCCACCGGCAGCTGCATACGGTCATGGACCTATGGCAGCAGCAAGCAGATGGACAAACTGTAAGCTGACGGTAAAGCACCGCAAGGGAAATGTCACGCTGAATATGTGCGTAGCTGAAGGGTATGTGAATCTTCTACCGTTTCCTCTATGTATTTATGGAATATATGTAACTAGCTTAATATTTAAGGTTTATTGTACTTCGATGCCGCTCAGCAGGTGAACAACGTTCCGCTCAACAGGCATCTACACTGTGCCGAAGGAATGTCCTTCCACGACCATCTTCTTCTCAATGCTTTGAGGCAAAAACTAAAAGTGGTCAGTGAAAAGTCATGTTTTGCTTAGATTCATGGAAATGGAGGCGGAGGTGGTGTAGTGACAAGTGGCGCGCTTACCACTCGCGCGGTCCTGGGTTCGAATCCCGGGTCGACACCCGCCCAGGCCAACCAAGCCTTCTACCCTCCGGGGACGGTAAATTGGTACCAGATTCGTCTGGGAGGATAAAACACTGACTTGTACATCGGCTGGCCCCCGCAAGTATAGGCCACATCGCATTCAATAAGCCACTACGATTCTGAATGGAAGTAGAATGCGTGCCGCATCCCACAAAGGGATTGATTAACGGCGAAGACTTTATCCTTTATCCTTTATGGAACTAATTTCGACAAGCGACCGAGTGGTGCAATCAGCGCGCCATGTCTGTGAGGGCCCTCGGGAGCCAATTTCTTGTCGAATCTTTCTCCAGTGGAGAAACTTCGACGAAAATAGGACCCACATTTCAGAAAATGGGGCTTTAAAGGGTAAACAATATCAAATACGGACGTAAAGAGCAAATGTAACATACAACTGACATTACCTTATCGAGTACTCCACACAACGCTTCAATAGAAGACTTCCCAAGCTGTTTCCTCACTTCAGGGATACGAGCAAGAAGGATGGCAGCAGCTTCC